CTTGTTCAAAAATTAAATATTTTGACATAGAGAAGCCCGAAGCTGGAAAACATATACAAACTAACTGAATGTTTGAAAAGGCAGAATTTGTCTCAGATCTTTGGCGCAGTCTCTGATAAATGTGGGATGAAGTTTGGATCAAGTGACAGATACACTACCACAGTTTCGCCCTAGTATTATGATGAACTTAAGCCACATATGGCAATGCATTATGGTAACTATAACATGGTTATGGGGAGTTCTTAGGCACAATGCAAATAAATAATTCAACCACCATGTAGTATTTTTTGTATGTTTACAGTTGACAAGCTACTAAGCAACTTGCCAAATTAATATAAATTTTATTGTCATTTTACAATCAGAATTTAGAGTTGGATCTATTTGTGATTATGTGTGTGTGTGTGTGTGTGTGTGTGTGTGTGGATGTGCAGCAATGGAGATCAACACCAAGCAGAGAAGTACAGCTCAGTCAGCCCATCCTGGCCGTTCGGAGCAAAAGGGACTGTAATTATCCGGAGCCAGTCATCTCAGGAGGTCGGCTGGGATTTTGGGAATGTGTCCCCCTCCTCCACTACTCTGTCCTTTTCACCCTTCAACCCCATCATCCTCCCCAGCAAAAGGGCATTTCTTCAGCTGGACGATCACACTGCCACAGCAGAGCGGTGATGTGTGTGAGTATGTGAATGGTTTGTGAGCATGAAATCAATCACCTCTGGTTCAGATATGCATTATTGTGACATTTCAACCATAACTCACATCATGGCGCAGCCTGCCAGAAAGCGATCTGCTTATGCCTCCGAGACAATGCCAAGAATATCACAAAATAACTTTAAATCAGTTTTATTGTTCTCTTGTCTGCTTCTTGCACTCGCCCTCTCTCTCACTTGGCACCATGTGCGCTTAATTAAATTGACTTTGAAGCGACGATGACATCATGATTTGGCTGTTATTCTTTTGGACGTGTTTGGACTTCTGGGTTCCCATGGAAACTCTGATGTAATGGCCACGCAGACTTGTTTTCAGGAAAACCACAGCTGACACGTGGTGAAATAGATGGGCTTTTGTTTTTAAGAAGGATCGGTGGTTTGTCAACAGCTATCTTGCAGATGAAAGCCAGACGGGGTTCGCAGGGCATTGGTTCGCTCAAGCTGAGGACGAAACGTCAGCCTTTAGACTGATGGTTTGACATTTTCTCTGTGTGAACAGGTCATCACGGCTGAATGTGGTTAAGGAACCATGTGCTCTAGCCTTAGTGGTTCGACCAGTGTGTTAAAGTTTAGACATAGAATTCATGATTTGTGGTAAACTCGACTGTTTACTGCATGTTTCCCACCATGCCTCATTCTCCCGAATAAGGACAGTCTGGTTTTTTTTGGGGAAGGCACCACTGATAATTGTTATTATTGCTGGTAAGATTTTTAGGTCACACTTTATTTTAAGGTCCACTTCTTGCTATTAACAAACCATTAACAAACCATTAACTATAACTTTTGCCTCCTAATTTGTTGCTTATTAACAGTTAGTAGCTTCAACAAATGGCATGCTTTTTTATGGTTTTCCTTGTAGAACTTGAGGGATTTGTCACACATGATTTAATTCTAAACTTTCACAATCAGTCTCTTTCCATCCATGTTTGTTGATTATATATTCTTCGATTCCAGTGAGCATTCAATGTGGGCCACAGCTGTTAAGATGAAAACTGATTAACATTATTTTATAGCTTGTCACTTTATTGCATATTGTTGGGCTGCAACAAGATATTAGTGGCTGTTCACACAGAACTTGTTTTTGCATTCCATTGCACTTATTTTCCATTGTTTTTCTATGTAAACATGTGCAAGACATATTTGACCATTGCACTTACATTATTTGCAGCGTCCCACACACAACAAGGCGTTCTAAAAATGCTGCACTAAAGTTAACAGAAGTTCCGAAAACGTGTCTCTAGACCTTCATTCCACTACCCATCATCTAGTGTTCTTCAACACTAAATTTTGTTGAAAGACCTTTAAATTGGCATGGTATTTTTTTAATTAGTTCAGCTATTGTATTTAAATCTAAATGCAGGATTCAGAAATGTTTTCCTATTAAATGTAAATGTAAATCCTGTCAAAAGTGACAGTAAACGGATTTATAATGCTACAAAAGATTTCTATTTTGACACAAAAATGCATTCTGAGTTAAAGGCCCCTTAAGCTGATTTAAAGGGATAGTTCACCAAAAATGAAAATTCTGTCATTAATAACTCACCCTCATGTTGTTCCAAACCCGTAAGACCTTTGTTCATCTTTTTAACACAAATCAAGATATTTTTGATGAAATCCGAGAGCTTTCTGATCCTCCATAGACACGAAAGAGAAGAGCTGTTGAATAAAGTCGTTATTTTTCTTTTCTTTGCGCACAAAAAGTATTCTCGTATGTTAAAAAATGTAACACGAGCTTAGCAGAATTGAACAAAAAAAACCCTGAACATCCAATTCTGTCATATTTACACAGAAAACAATTGAAAAGCTACACAGTACAACACAAACCTTTTATAGCTTGTGGTGCAGTGTTTGTTTGTAAAATAACAACTCTGGAGAAAGTTCAACATAATTACATGATTGCTGAACGTGTTAAAAATCTAAACAAAGCAGTATTATGTGTCTTTCATGAGTAGATGATTGTTTATCTGTCTTGTTAATCTTGTACGAATTTGTCACAATGACTGTATACATGAGTATGTTTAAATCAGACATAATCTTACAGTGTCATTTGGTGAGTCATATCAGGATTGTATGTCAGCTGCCATTTCCCAACACCCAGAGATCCCTGAGGCTCAGAAACTCCTTAGGATGAAGTTATAGTTGTGTCATAGTTTTGTCTTGGTCACATCCTTCTCTCATGTCAGTGTTGCAATACCTGTGCCAGGTTATCTCTATCACTGATCCCTTCCCTGATAAAAGTGAACAGATCTTGTATGAGCATGTGAGGTCTTGCACTGATCCTTCTCGATCCAAAAAGCGCATCTGATCCATTCTGCTCGACTTCTCCGAATCACCACCATGTATCTTAGGATCAGATAAAGGCTAAAGGGAAGAAATGGTGGCTGCATTCGATACAATAACAAACTGCCAGGGAAAAGCACAACATTGTGCCATTCCTCTATGCGCCTGTTGCTGATCCCGAGAAACATTTACAATCCATGCCTGACGTGAAGGTCTGACATCATTGCAAGATGGAAATCATATTTGGAGGGCTGAGGGGGGATGAAAAAAACAGCTGCTCCGAGTCAGAAGCTTGCAGGGAAATTCCAGCAAACTTTGAGTCAGATATGTTGCAAGATTCACTCTTGAAGAGCCTCTGTCTAGATCAAGATGTCTTGATGAAAGATTAATTGATAACCCGTTCCTCAGCATGGCATCTCATGTGTACAGCATTCGCTCACAGCTCTGTTATGTAAAGTTGATGAGCACATGCCCAGTGTGTACAGCTATAAATCACCTCCGCTCTCCTGTGGCTTACAGTGTTTACAGTAAACAGTGGGCTGGAATGTAAAGTTATTTCAGTCCGTTGGCCAGGACTCATTGTAGTGGTTGTGCTACAGGCCGTTAGTCCAACCCAGAGCCCCCCTGTACCTCATTATGGGATTAGGCCTGTTTGCTCTGCTGGGGTTCTGTTGCAGCTCTACACTTATCCCTTCACCCACAAAAGATAAACACAGACGCAAACACAACAAGCCCACTTCCTCCAGATCCATTATGTCCCTCTATTCACCCTAAACAGCAAACTCTTGAAATCCAATCAGCCCCCATTTTGTCTATACACTGATTGATCATTACAGGACACAAGGTCAGTTTGGAAAGGACAAGACTTTGAACTCTTAGGAAGTACAGAGGAGGATTCTCCTGGGAATGACCTCTTTGTTTATTCATTTGAAATGAGTTTAGCTATTGTATTTAAATGAGAAGGCAGGATTTTAAAAATGTTTTGGCAGGCAACGTTTTTTTTAGTTTTTATTCAGCCAGGATGCCTTACATTGATTAAAGGGGACAGTAGAGACATTTTTAATGTTACACACAAAAAAACTTTTTTGAATAAATGCTGAAGGATCGTGTGACACTGAAGCCTGAGTAATGGCTGCTGAAAATTCAGCTTTACCATCACAGGAATAAATAACATATTCAAATAGAAATCTGAAAGTTATTTTAAATTATAATAATATTTCACAATATGACTGTTTTTTATAAATTTTTTACCAAATATATGCAGTCTTGGTGAACATAAGAGACTTCTTTTAAAATCTGTAAAAAAATATATATATTTATTTTTTAAATTCAGTAACCCCAAACAAACAGACCCCAAATATAAATATTAAATTAGTTATAAATATAATAATAAAAGAAAAATTATAATAAAATTTTAATATTTTAGTTTTTTAATAAAATATTTAAAATAGTAAATATTAAATGTTAAATAATAATAAAAAAATATATAATAGGAATTTAAAAAATCATTCAGTCAGTTCAATCATATTAGGAAACATTAACGAAAGTACATTTCCTAAATGTCCAAAATTCATGCAACAAGACTTTTTGTCTACATGATGCAACTTTTTATTTCTGCAACAACACATTAGGTACCCAAAATCTCACACCTCATAATTGTACATTAATCTTCAAATAATATGTACAGACTGCATATGATTGCATCACACCGCGCAGCATTTTCACATTTAGCGCAGATAGGGCAAATTGCTTGCCGCTTGAAACTTGTTAAGACATTTTAAACTGCATATTGTCATGCTTTACTGTGTAAACAGGCACTTAAACCTTAAGAGTGCAGTCTTTATCCTGACCTCAACCACCACACTCTGAACCCAGCGAAGGTGAGATAGAAAAAAAAACTAAAGGCGTGTCTGTTCCTCTCTGATATAGCACTGCTGAGACAGTGGGACATGCTTTAGCTGGAGAAATGTGAGCAGTGGACTTTATCTGTCAGGAGAAAAAAAAGAGCGAGGAACAGGGAGTGAGAGAGAGCAGAGACAGAGCACTGTGTTGTGAAAGTGGAGATTAATACAAATACAGTGGAAAGAAGGAGGGGGAGCCTGGATAAAGTGGAGCTCTATCTTTCGTCCTCTTTTCTCTTGTTCCCTCCCTCTCTCTGCTCCCTCCCCCGGGCTGCAGGAGTAGTAGGAGGTTAACGTGACTGTGAGAGCTGTACTTTAAAACAGCACGGCGGGCCGAACTCACACACTCAGACACACTCACAGCTGAGAAATCATACTGAAACATAAGGTCTGTAAACACTCACAATTTTGGGTGAGGTTTAAAGATGTTTTTTTATTCATTAGATAATTAAACAAAGTTTGTATCTGAGTTTGTCTTGACAGGTCAGTCCCTCTGGATTTCTATATGGATCTGGGACTGTAAACAATTTCAAGAGGGAAATATCAGAGACAGATTTCAATTTGGTGTAGGACTGTAAAGGAAGGTACCTGGACTCACAGTGGAAATGGACACAGGCCCGTTGGCATCAGTGGCCGAGGGCTCTCCGGAAGGGGAGACGGTGTGTGCCGCCTTGGCCCGCTATGAAACCACATTGCAGGATGCGGTGCGTGAGATCCACGTGGACGTCAGTGCTTTCAAGCTGGGCATCGAGCGGAGACTAGAAGAGGCCATTAATGTGAGCGGACCTCTGGGCCGGGCCGTGGCACAGCTGCAGCAGGAGAACCGGCAGCTCAGGGGTCAGTTAGAGGCCCTGACCCGACAGGTAGAGATGCTGACGGGGTCGGTGTGCGACAGAAGTGCACTTCTCACTGAAGGATTGGCGCCACCACAGAGCAACAGCAGCACCGCGGGGCATCAGTCTCCACCGTCTGCGGCCCCCAGCATAGCAGCTCTGACCGGCTCTGCCTCCAGCCCCACTGCCACACGCTTCTCCAGCAGAGCCACCTTCTCCGTCACCAGCAAAACTAATGTGAGTAGACATTTGCGAGAATGTGTTTAAATGGAAGTGTGACCTTGAGTGAGGTCATTTCGTAGAACTGGAAAAAATGAATTGATGTGAGAAACTTTATGTTGGAAAACTAAATATTTAGACATATAGAGAGAAGCCCGAAGCTGGATAACTAACTGAATGTTTGTAAAAGAGCAGAATTTGTCTCCGACCTTTGGCGCAGTCTCTGACAAATGTGGGATGATGTTTAGATCAAGTGACAGATACTTCACTGCCACAGTTTTTAGACACAATGTAAATAAATAATTCAACCACGTAGTGTAGTGTAGTACATTCAAGTGGTGCGATGTTGACAAGCTACTAAGCAAATTGCCAAATTAATATCAATTTTATAGTCACTTTACAATCAGAATTTAGAGTTGGATCTATTTTATAAAATTAATGCTTTTTTTAAACTGCAAAGGCATAGAGGCTGCACCTGAAGTGGCTTAAATTCTTGAAAAGAGGCTGTTTAATGTTGCATAAATACATGGGAATTAACATTACTGGAGTAATGTTATGAAACGGATGCTTAAAAATCATTTAATTAACAATATGAGCTTATAATAAATGTAGAATTTATGGAATTAAAATAAGCTAGCTCTGATGCTGCATTTAATATACATAGAAAGCTGCATGTTTTATTATGGCTTTTATGCAGCATTGCACATAATTTGGAGCAGGAACAAATCTGCCTTCACTCAGTCTGTGTAAAGGCTCCAGATCTTTGTGAAATGACAAGTTTTTAATTAAAACAATCACTTTAAAATGCTCAAACAACCCAGATGTTTTGTTCACGTTAGTACTGATCAAGCCAAGATGATTTTAGCTGATTTAGCAGATGTCATTCATTCAAAGCATGCTTTATTTGATAATGTACATTTCATAGTTTGTACAGTATATTTATAGTGTAAACTCTGCAAAGCTGAGGGAGTTTAGGATCCTTAGATGCAGTTCTTGATATGATGGATAATGGCTCTATTCAGGATTACAGGACTACAGCTTTATTTTGTTTGAGGTGACTGTCTGTTGAGTTGAACCTGTCAGCTTTAAGCCTTTAACAGCTGCTGCTTGTGACAGTAAAACTCAAACGTCATGCAGTCGTCACTCATTACTTTAGAGCTTGTGCTATGGAGTATAAAAATACTATAATTTGCATAGCATGCAAATTTCATTGGCTTGTTTCATAGGGTCTTGTTTTAGACTTCGGGTTTGTCAACAGTTTTTCTAAATCATCATAATTGTAGTAGCAGGGAGTGCAGCTGATTTTGACTGTGAGTGAGAGTCAGTAGAGACAAGGAAGGCTGTTATCTTCCCTGCTACATCCACACCTGCCAACCGCATAATCAGAGAGCTACATTCTGGGCTTGTAAAATACTCAGAGACTGTTGTGGCAGGTCTGCAGAGCACTCCCTTTCAGGCTCAGCCTGCAGGAAAAAGTGAGCGAGAGAGAGAGAGAAAGACTGGAAAAAGACAGCGAGACTCCACGTGGGGATGTGTGCTGGCCTACCTCCACGTGGCTGTACTGAGAGCACCTGCAGATATCATGAGTATCACACTTTATCTCACGCTCTTCCTTCTAACTCCGTGTCTGTCTCTGATTCTTTCAGAGGCCTGATGTACTTTCCGTTCTTGGGAAATAACAGTTTATCCTGGGCTCAATCTCAGACTGCCGCCACTGTATCTGAGGCATTTCTTGTTCTTGTCTCTCAACTATCATTCTGTCTCACACAAAACACTGTCTCCAGTCCTCTTCATTTATCACTCCCTCTCTTTCTTTCTGTCCGTCATTCTATGCTTGGCCTCTTTCACTACAGTTCATAGTCCTCTCAATTTAAATTTAAATTGATGTCGCAAACAAGATGCATATATGAAATTTGAATTTCAATGTAAAGACGTAAAATTAAAATTAATTGAAATTCAAAGATTAAATAAAAAAGATAAGATTAAACTAGATAGATGGACAGAGCAACGAGAACAACTGAAAGACAGACAGATAGATAGATAGATAGATAGATAGATAGATAGATAGATAGATAGATAGATAGATAGATAGATAGATAGATAGATAGATAGATAGATAGATAGATAGATAGATAGATGGATGGATGGATGGATGGATGATGGAAATAACGATGATGGATAGAACAACGAGAACGACGGATGAACGGACAGACAGACAGACATAGATAGATAGATAGATAGATAGATAGATAGATAGATAGATAGATAGATAGATAGATAGATAGATAGAATAATGGATTGATATATGATATATCGATAGATAGAAAGAAGGATGGATAGTGGATGGATAGTTAGAAAGATAGAAAGAATGACAACTACTCATGACAACAAGATGCCAGGTTCATTATATATGTTTTTGCTGCAACTTTACTGTCAAAACTTTAAACGCACATGAACTGTATCATCCTGTGTTCCTCTTCCTGTCCAGAGTTCAGGCGACCAGCAAATGCTTTTGCTCTGCCCTCACTGTGTGCTGTCTCCACAGAGGAGTCCTGCACTGCTGTTGCCAATTACCGCTGCATTTCTGCGGTTTCAATGGGCCATTGTGTCGACATTCTGCCTCATTTGAAGTACACTGGGTGAGTCAGGATTTAAAGAACACCCAGGACACCCTTTCTTTATTCAGCGGTATGTGGTGTAGATCTAGCACTGCCGAACTCCTCTGGAGTCTCTCGGGTTTGAAGGACAGGTGCTTGGCTGGAAACCACACCTGTGGAGCCTGGTTCCACTGCACGTTCACATTTGGCCTCGAGCACAAAAAAGCCTCTTGCCCTCCATTAGTGCTGATGTGAATATATTGTTTAGGGGTCAGTAGGTTATCTTTGATTCTACTGTGCCTCAACATAGTCACTGTATTGTAAAAGTCAGACACTTTGACTCCCACTGGAACACGTGTGTGTGTGTGTGTGTGTGTGTGTTCTGCTGTGCTTCTCCAGGGCATGTGAGGGAGAGAGAAAAGATTGGGGTGGGAGGAAGATAAGATTTGCACGGGTGTTATCTGCGGTAACTGTTAAAGCACGCTCAAAATCTCAGAGAAAGGATATAGACACACGCAGGCGCTCACAGACACAAATACGCTAACAGATATTGCAGATATTTAGTATTAGACATAAACTCAGTCGATTTCCTCTTAGCTTCATGCTGTCAATCCCAAATAATGAAGATTATCTGGCCTGGATTTGGCCTCCGGATCCTTGTCTAAGAAGTTTTTATTGATTTTTTTTTCAGCTGCTCTTCATTGCGCTTCAAGTTAGCAATGGCATCAGAGTAGATATTAACAGCTTTCTTCTAGTAATTCGTGATGCTAAACTAGTTGACAGTGGGTTTCACAAATCTCTCAACTAACTATTTTGTGTTGTATTTCTCTAGATGTTTCACAGTTTTGTTTTAGTCATAGTTTTTGTATTTTGAATTTTTGTATTTTCCTTTAAATTTAGTCAATATTTCATCAAGTTATATTGATTTATATTAGTCAGTTTTTACTCAGATAAAATAGCACCTAGTTATAGTTTAGTTAAATCACATTGATGAGCGAGTGTAACATATACAAAATATATTCAAACATTTTATACATTAAATACTTTTATTTATTGTCATGATGTACTTATTTTACCTCATCTTCTTTTTACTGACAAAATCAAAAAACCCTTTGTTAATGGTTTTCATCAATAATCTCAGTGACAAAAGTCAATCTGCACATCTTCTCAAAGAGACTGAATCATCTGCATTATGGAATTAAAATCCTCCTCTAGGCTTGTTGCAACTAGCAGAATTTGCGTCATTTTCTTGAGCCAAACTAGCCCTAAGTACAGATGCAATGCACTTTCTCCACTGGGAAGTCAGCATATTTCAGAATGTACTATTAAAGTAAATAAACTGTAAATTGTATGATGTAAATTTGACTTGGGAAGTAGGTAACAAATTAATATGCATATTGTTTTTGTTGAGGAGCTTAAGAAAATTCATGTGGATTGTCATATTGCAAGTATTTTTCAATCAAGACATTTTAAACTGGCAAAGAACCGTAAACAATTATAGCTTTGACATACACCGTTCACCATGTTATTATGACATAACCATAAACATTCATGCCTTCTGTGACATGTTTATACACACCACACATCTGAAGCGAGGAACGACGGATGAACGGACAGACAGACAGACATAGATAGATAGATAGATAGATAGATAGATAGATAGATAGATAGATAGATAGATAGATAGATAGATAGAATAATGGATTGATATATGATATATCGATAGATAGAAAGAAGGATGGATAGTGGATGGATAGTTAGAAAGAATATATATATGACAACTACTCATGACAACAAGATGCCAGGTTCATTATATATGTTTTTGCTGCAACTTTACTGTCAAAACTTTAAACGCACATGAACTGTATCATCCTGTGTTCCTCTTCCTGTCCAGAGTTCAGGCGACCAGCAAATGCTTTTGCTCTGCCCTCACTGTGTGCTGTCTCCACAGAGGAGTCCTGCACTGCTGTTGCCAATTACCGCTGCATTTCTGCGGTTTCAATGGGCCATTGTGTCGACATTCTGCCTCATTTGAAGTACACTGGGTGAGTCAGGATTTAAAGAACACCCAGGACACCCTTTCTTTATTCAGCGGTATGTGGTGTAGATCTAGCACTGCCGAACTCCTCTGGAGTCTCTCGGGTTTGAAGGACAGGTGCTTGGCTGGAAACCACACCTGTGGAGCCTGGTTCCACTGCACGTTCACATTTGGCCTCGAGCACAAAAAAGCCTCTTGCCCTCCATTAGTGCTGATGTGAATATATTGTTTAGGGGTCAGTAGGTTATCTTTGATTCTACTGTGCCTCAACATAGTCACTGTATTGTAAAAGTCAGACACTTTGACTCCCACTGGAACACGTGTGTGTGTGTGTGTGTGTGTGTGTTCTGCTGTGCTTCTCCAGGGCATGTGAGGGAGAGAGA